CTCTTCTAAATAAAAGATCACGAAATCGAGTAAGAAAGAGTTTCTCACCTATCTTTTGAAATGAATCAAGAAGTGAGATGGGACGAGTTAAAGACGATGAACAAATGGAATCTTTTTTAGCTAATAAAATCATTCGGATATCTTTCCATGCGGAAGGTAAAACTGACTTTTGAAAAGAATGATTATACAGTTTTAACAATAAAGACCAGTAATTAAGATCAAGAAAATTAAACATATAATTCGAAATACCATGAGCATCTAGAGATTTTTTTTTTCTTTTTAGCTACAACAGTATTTATAAGTTCATTAAGTGTTACTTCAGGAATAACTTCATTATTATTATCATATTCAATTGGAGGTGAATCAGTATAAGGATGAAGTCTAACAATATTTGATGCTTTAAAAAAGTCTTCGTAATAATCAGCTGCTACATTACACATAAGATCACTTTCTTTGACAATTTGTCCTAATGAATCAATAAGAGCATGTAGAGAAGGAGCATTACGAAGACGAAGAAGATTATCAAGTTGAGAAGAAAAAAAAAGATGAAGTTCTTTTTTAGCAATTTTTTTTAAGAAACATACTTCCTGTTTTAGTATGCTACATTTCGTCCTTAATTGTCTAAAGGACAAGGCTATAATATAGGATAAGAACGATCTTAATTCAACAGGTAAAGCTGAACGATATTTGTCTAAGTAAAAAAAGGTTGTACAGCGAGCAGACAAGAGATATAAAAAACGGATGTAATCATTATATGTAACGTCAATAGAAGAGAATTTCCAATTCTCTTCCCAAAAGGAGAATGTATATTCAGAAAAAAGTGAAAATACTTTCCAATGAGTGCTTTTTCCTAATTTTTGTTGTAAAACTTTCAATGGAATAACGGAGAGTATTGGAAAATGATCACTAGTTGTATTTCCATTAAAAACTTGAATATCAAGATTTAGACCTCGAACAAATGCGTAATCGATTACTCTATCAGATTGTAAAGAAGTTGGAGAATTCTGTAGAGCTTGAGCTAGAAATTGTTAATCAGCCCATTGAAGTAATATTTCAGCTTTTTTTCTATCCTGCATGATGTCAACATTATAATCACCATAGATAATACATTTCTTTGATAAGAAATGGGAGAGATCATCCCATGACCATGTTTTACTATCAGGTGCATACACGCCAATTAATCTAAAATCTTCTTCACCTTTAACATCGACTACACAAACATTAGGTAACATTCAGGGAACTCTACTTATCGAAATACCTTTTTTAATAAGCATTAAAACACCACCATTTTTTTGTTTTCTCCTTTTTGATAAAAAAATCTATAGTTCCAGAAAATTGTTTGATGAAATGAAATATCTAGATCACCGGTTTCAAGAAGAATAAGAGCATCAAATTTAAATGAAGAAATAAGAAGAAGAACTTCTTGCCATCTAAGATCAAGTCCACGAACATTAAATAGAAGAACATGAAAAGAAGAAGAAGAGGGTTTATCACGGACAGAAGTAAAACTCTTCCAATGAGAGAAACAAGAATAGAGATTTGGACTACTTTTCCATTCCTCAAGGATTTTGCAAAAAAGATTGAAATCGAAATGAGAAAGAGAACCTTTAACTTTACATAGAAGATAATTACGTTTAGAAAGTTTAGAAGGAGAAACACATGAGAAAAAAGGAAGAGCAAAAGGAGAAAGAGACATTGGTTGATGGAATATTTACCTTCTTTTATTTTCGTCATTTGAATAAGATAACGTTCAAGTTTAAGTTTAAGATCAGGATCAAGTATATTTCCTTTTTTGTCCTGATTTTGTGATGCAATCAAACCAAATAGATCTTCAAACATTGGAACAATTAATTTCATGAATAAGTTTTTATGTCGTTCAATTAAAAGACTTTGATGCACCAAATCTTTTTTAAATTCAACAGATTGTTTAGAAAGTAAATTTAAATTTTCTTTAACAAGTAAATCATTTTCTTTTTTTCGGTCATAAATTGCTCAAATTTATTAAACTTTAATTCAAGATTTGAAAGATGATTATTTACTTCTGTTATTTTTCCCAGTAGATCATCTAATTTAGTTAACATCGTATTATTAGGATTAGTTGGTAAAAATTGAGGTATAGGTATTGGTGGAAAATCAGAACTTAAATATTTGAAGTTTGAGTTTCTCATGTTGTTTAAGGTGTTGGTGGTGGAAGAGGATGAACGATTGTTGGAAGATAATAGTTTACGTGTTAATTCAGATCTAAACGATTTAACTATTTGGCATCTAAGAGAATTTGACTTGTGGTTTTATCCACAATGAATACATTTTTCAATCTTAGAGCAAATATGTAATTTTAAATCATCAGCACATTCACCACACGTACGACAAGTACTTTTGACCTGGGTACATTGCTTCATGAAATGCCCTAAACCCGTGCATTTAGACCAAATTAAAATATTTGCAGGTGCCAAATACTCATCAATGTCATAGACTATATAACCAACAGTAATTTTTCTTTTAATTAATAATTCTTCACGTAAAGTAGAAGAAGATAATTCAAGTTTAACTAATTTAATATCATTGTTAAATTTGTTTTTTAATCTAATAACATTTTTACCTTGTGGATAAGATGTTTTAATTTCTTGAGAAAATTCATTGAAATCCAGACGAAGATCTACATTTTTAACTAACAATGATAATTGTGGTGGAATAGACGGAGAAGATGGAAATGTATAGTCTACATCACCAAACGTATCATGCCAATGGTTCTGATCTAATAGAAAAGAAGAAAATCATATTCATTGTTGGAACTTCTATTAGATAAACAACATTTTAAGATATTGATTTCCATTTGATAATTTATGTTACAAAAAGCAGTTAAACCTTCTTTAATTTGGTTCGATGTAACTTTACCAGTATTGAACCTGATGCTAAAGGGGAGAAAGGGGTAACGTGTTTGTGCATAACAAGTAGATTCAGCAGTGATTAAAATCTGTTGTGGATGAGATAAAGATAGAGCACCTTGAACTTGTGGACCACCTGAGACTTGTTGAATATCTTGCAATTGTTGAACATTTTGAACTTGTTGAACACCTGGGATCTTATGTAGTAAAGGTTCAGCAGCAACAGAGGCAGATATAGACGACAAAGGTGAGGGTGCAGCAGATTTTGAAATAATGTTTGTTTGATAATGTGTACGTTTTTTTTTAATTGTAGATGTCGTAAGTTTGTGTTTAATTTTCTTTTTCTTTTTATTTTCTACTTGTTGACAACCATCAAATGAAACATTGGACGAAAGTTCATCATGTGAAGGTACAGTTGGTGAATCAATAATCATATTTGTAGAGACTGGAGCTGAAACCACGGAGGTTTCATTTAAACAGTTTTGTAAAATATTATTTGAAGAAGAAGTCATTTAAAATGACTCTAGATCAACAATATTGATAAATAATTGTAAATAAAGATATTTTTCTTTTTACACACTCAACAAGTGCTTGAAAAAAAACAAAGGAAAAAAAAAGTATAGAAAGAAAAAAAGAATGCGATGCGACATATCCGTAGCTCGAATATGTGAAGAATGAGCACAACACGTATTTTATTCGTTCGCTATTGACATCTCTAAGTCAATTCAGTGCGGACCACACTGTTATTCAGTAAACCGCCTTTTTACTTTATTTGTCTCTCTTTACAGAATACCTTTTCTGAAATATGACAGAAAAAAAACCCTAAAATAACTCTATTCAATAACCTAAAGAGAATTATTCACACGAGCTAAAACATTCTGATGTGGATCTGTTATCAAAGATACACATTATGGCATTAGAATAGAATTTTACTTAAGTCCTGCCGGAGAAATAGAGTTCTCAGAAGAAATCTGTTGTCGATGAGAGGTCCCACAACAAATAGCTATCGCGGGGCAAGTAATCTAGCTTTCCTCTCTTACCAGGAAAGCCGTGAGATTGGGTGAAATTGGATGATTTATGTCTGAAGTTGATGGTATTGCAAAACAGTATTCGTTCATTCGGATGTTATGAACGGAAAGCTTCGGAATGACTGGCACTCTAACAGGATATGGCGAACACTATCGTATTCTAGGTTTCCGTGAACTTCAAACAGGATTTGGCCGAATCTGATCGAATCGGATAGAATTCTACGAGATGATTTTGATCTGGGATCATCAAGAAGACCGCTATGTCATAAAACTCACCAATTGTATTTTATGAGTGCTATCTCTGCTGATTTTCGTAAAAAAAACATCAAAAAGGAGGAAAAGAAGGAGCATTCACATGCCAGTGGTTTGGCTGTGTGTCTTGCAGTCGTTCAAGAAATTTTGTAAAAGGTATTTTTGTGAAGTGCACTTATAAGGTATTTTAATTTTTGTCTGCCGTTTCTCTGTACAAGTGCGAAAAGCATCTATAGGTGTTGCAGTAATCATTTATTCAATTATCAAGAAGTTTGGTATTTGATTACATTCGTCGAACATCGATTCGCGCTCTGCTGGATTTTGATCGAATTTCAATAAATGCTAGTTGTACCTGTGTTGGAAATAAAGCAAACTATAGTGTGTGATGCGCTTGTACATATAGAATGGAGGCCCTCTGTCAGTTGGTAGCCCGTTTATTCTGTGGCCTGGTGACTCATTGTTGCCTTGATACGTTTCATGACACGTTAATTTCTGACAATTTCTTGTTTGCAAATTTAAAAAATAAGTTATGCATATTAAGTAGGAAGAGGGAGGAAGGAGTAAAGACTTCAGATTTTAGGTCTTCTGAAGTATTTGGAAGCGTCTGGAAGTCCGGCAAAGACCAATAGAATCTGAGAAGTCTTTTGGTGTCTTTAGAAATCTTTGAAATGTTGGAGTCTTCAATTCCTATAACGTTCATCAAAGTCTTATGAAGTTCTCTAAAGTCTTTTGAAGTCTTAAAGCACACATTACCCCTCCCCCTCATCTTAGGAAACATGATGCCGCCATAGGTGACGGTTTGTACTTTATTAGTTTTTACTTGTACCAGTTGTACATGGTACTTAAAGGTGTTATAATGTTACCAGCTGACTGATTTTGAAAACCTTTCATGCCGATGATGTTATAGATATACTATTATAAATACCCTACAGGTTTGCCAAATTTCTTTGTTCGACTCCATCTAAACAATACTGGTTCTGAAACAAAATCAATAAAGCCATGAAGCATACATATATTTAAAAAAAATATGACGGTGAGTGTATTCGTGTGAAAAGAGTTATCGTTTTTTTGATACAATGACTTGTTCGGAAAAATCAGTTGATTGCGTGATTTTAAATAGTTTTTGAAACACTTTTAACCAATCATAATATTCTCTTGATGTTTATGTTTGCTAGCATTTTTTAGAAGAGTTAGACACGAGAAAACCCTCAGAGAACAACATCAATTACGCAGAAGAACCGTCGATTAATCTACTAGAAGCTAATACTATCATTGGGCTAAAAAGAACAGGTTATGGACTGTATCCTGTTGTCATATCTCTCGTCAGATCTGAACTCTACAACCGAGTTTAAAGTGAGCGATCCGGATTTTCTAACCAGACCAGAAACTACAAAACATGGACCTTTATCCTATCTACGGAATAAAAACATCAGGACCATAGTTGAAAACCATATTCGTATATCGCTCCTGGGTACCAGAAATTGCGAGAATCGAGTAAGAACCGATACAGGAATCCTGCTTTCGAAGTTCACTGGAAATGCATCGCAGCTGACCATTTTCTGCCCACATCCTTGACCTGAAAGCACGTACTATTCTATTGACTTTTTAAGTGTCCCAGACTTTTCGACGAGAATTTTTCGCCTCAAATTTTTGGGAGAAAAAAAGTTTTAGTCGAAAATTCCGGAATATTTAAACGAATCATACAATTTTACCTACTAAACACGTTCTGTATGATACCTATTTTTGAGAGTAGCCTTAATGGATTTCTACTACTTGAAAGGACATGATTTGCGGATGACTCTGAATTAAAATACTAAACGTTACACTCACCAGTGAAAGATTCGTGGTAAATGTATCAATTGTATAATAATTGTATTCAAATATATCGGTCACTTCGAAACAAACTGTAATTCGATAAAATTAGCAAAGATCACTGGGCACATAAATTATTATAACTAGCATTGAGTTCAAGTATATCACTCGCTTTGAAGTAAAGCATGTCATACAATCACCTAACAAAAGACCTTTCAACGAAATGAATCGTTCTCAGTATGCTTTCATTCTATCACATCACTCATTTGTCGACGAAGTATGTTACCATTCTAATAGATGACAATGCACGTCTTAAACGCTTGATGCTTACAAATACATCGTACAAATATGATCGTTACTGTAGAAAAAGTTAACACAAAGTGAGATGATCAAATGTGCAATACTAAGTGAATGATTCTAACTAAGACTGTATTCAATTATATCATTCACTTCAAAACAAAGTCAACTACTCAATTACATCAGCGAAGACTTCTTGACAAGTGAATTGTTCTGAGTAGGATTCCATTCAAGTGCATTACTCAGTTAGAAGCGAAGTTTGTCGCTCGATCACATTAGAAAAGATCTTTTGACAAGTGAATCGCTATCAGTAGAGTTCCGTTCAGGTGCATTGGTCATTTCGAAGCAAAATATGTCACTCGATCACATCAGCAAAGATCTCTTGGTACATGAATTCTTATAACCAAGGTTTCATTCCAATGTATCGCTCACTGCGAAGGGAAGTACGTCAGTTGATCGCATTAGCAAAGATGTATTGATAAATGATTTCTTTTAAAAAGGATTTCATTCAAATGTATCTTCCAGTTTGAAGCAAAGTATGTAACTCGGCCACATCAGCAAAGATCTCTTGGCCAATGATTTCTTATAACCAGGGTTTCATTCAAGTGTACTGGTCAAGTCGAAGTAGAGCATGTCACTCCATCACATCAGTAAAGATCTCTTGACAAGTGAATTTGTATCAGTAGAGTTCCGTTCAAGTGCATTGGTCATTTCGAAGCAAAATATGTCGCTCGATTGCATTAGCAAAGATCTCTTGATACATGAATTCTTATAAGAAGGGTTCTATTCAAGTGTATAGCTCATTTTGAATGGAAATATGACACTCTATCACATCAGCAACGATCTCTTGATACATGAATTCTTATAAGAAAGTTTCCATTCAAGTGTATCGCTCATTTCAAAGGGGAGTATGTCACTCGATCACATCAGCAAATATGTCTTGACAAATGATTTCTTATAAGAAAGTTTCCATTCAAGTGTATCGCTCATTTCGAAGGGGAGTGTATCACTTGATCACATCAGCAAATATGTCTTGACAAATGATTTCTTATAATAAGGGTTCTATTCAAGTATATTACCCACTTTGAAGCAAAGTATGGCTTTCGATCACATCAGTGAATAGATTTCGATAAATGTATTGTTATAAGAAAGGCTTCCTTCACAAACATCACTCATTTAGAACCGAAGTATGTCACTCGAACAATTCTCGAAAGGACTCTTGACAAATGGACCAAGCTAAACCATACGATTATGTTCGACTATGTTGCTTGATTTAAACAGTACATTCAAATGATAAACACTGTCATTAAAAAAGTGCCAACTAAATAGTCACCACAAGAGTTCTATTCGTGTATTGACTACATAAATGAAATGGGATATATGTGAAAATGCACTGAAGAAAAATGCGAAACAAGAATAACACAGAGTAATAATCGGTTCAGTTATCTACTAATGCAAAGTGAATTTTGAAAGGAAGATCTATTGAAGAATGACCAACAAAATATTTGGACATTTTTAATCAAGCATCGATTCAATTACATGAGCGACTATGGAAAACTGTCACAGTTGTTGTTTAAAATAATGATAACATAATGCATGAGCAATCAGGACAAAGCTTCTATTCAAATATTCGAATTGATTTGCATTAGTTGTTCGATGTAAACTGATGGACGAAAGTAAACATTGTACAGGATCGTGTTTTATTTGGCGCTGCCGTAGTTGTAGTTGTACTAGTGGCTAAATAAATAGATTGAGTTATACTTAGGTTTAAGACTTCATGTTCGGAACAGTATCACAGTAACTAGACCTCTGACAGATCACAGTTCAGTGAACCGATTCCTTTTCGAGAACTGGGTCCAATGACCAGCTCTTTTCTTCAAAGTTCGCTACAGTGACCACTTAGTTCTTTTCTTCAGAACTGAGTTAAGTGACCAGCTGTTGTTTTGGGAACTGGGCCCAATGACAAATCCTTTTTACGAAAACTGGGTACAGTGACCAGTTCTTTTTTCGAGAACTAAATGTACTGACTAGTTCTTTTTATAAGAAATGGATGCAGCGACCAGCTCTTGTTATAGGAACTCTTTATGGTGATAATTATAATAGAGAACTTGTATTCCTTAACT